TGCATCGAATGGTATACTTTTTGCTAGGGTGAGGTCAACTTAAGTAGTTGACCTCGGGTCAAGGTCAGGTCAGAGCCCCTCAGGTCACGAAGCTGGGCAAAGGGTATCATATGGCATATCATTCGATTCGGAAGGTCTTCCCGAGTCCATTGGTGGCTTTCGCGACTCTCTAGCTCCATTTGATCGGGAGTTATTGACGAAAAACTAGTACGACCCTAATGACGTCATAAATGACGTCACGCAAGGTTAACAATGCAAAAGTGAAGCATTGGACTTTGCAAGGAGTGCATGAAATCACGATACCATGTACGTGAGATCAGGGGCGGATCCAGGAATTTTCGGGAGGGGGGGCGGCAAGTCGAAATGGGGGCGACCTGGCGATCCGGGGGCGCTCCATACAAAGGGGGCGCCAAACCGTCAAAATCGGGAGCTAAAAGCCCGCGCCGTGCTAGGGGGCGTTATTGCGCTCCCCCTCAGGTTTTTCGCAAATATCTGGAAAACGGCTGCGCGCAGCGCCGCCATTTTCAGCATACCTTATCATGCATCTTTTTTGCACATGTTGTAAAAATGTCTGACGCGGGTGATGGAAGGTCAGGTCACCAGGTTATGCCAAGTGACCTAGCCTAAGAAAAAGTTCAAATGCTTACCATTGCTATACCGACTGAACGATTGCTTTGAACCTTTCAGCGATTGATGAAAGCAACACTATTCATGAAATGTATATCTCGGAATTTCGATATCTGTGACCTAAGGTCAGGTCAGTTGTGCGACGTCTCCATTAGGTAGGTAGGTATAATTAAGTCTTTGGGAGAAAACTGAAAGGCATCTCTTTTGGACGAGCGCCATTCTAGACAATATCAAGCATTGGGATACATATAAAATTAACACACTGAATAAGAACATTGCACCTAGTGTGACCACTCATTATGTCCCAGAGGTCATCCCATGTCATGAAAGGTCCGCAGCAGTTTTTTTTTTTAAATAACTTTTGATAGATTCAAGCTAGAGCGATAAAAACACCTCAGCTGTGTTCAGCTCGACGATACGCATCGACTGCTATGCATCATGACCTTTCCCGGTCAGGTCATGACCTTGACCTGAGGTCAAATTCTCAAAATTACCCTTCATAAGGTCAACCTTTAGTTTGTTCGACGTGTCTCGACGACAGAAACGCAATGCTGGCAAACGTAATGTCGAGACTCTCTTGAGTCAAAAGTTATTGCAGGAAAACATTGTTCGTAAAAAGGCTATTTTTAGTCTTTTGCCCTCTGAAGGCTAAACCGTTGACCTGAGGTCAAATCTGAGCGCAGCTTGCAGAAACACCTTTAAAAGGGCTATCGAATGCGCTTTTCTGCGGCGCTATAGCTCTATTGGTTTCCGAGTTATGTGCCGCTGCTTCGAAAACGGAAAAATGTTGAAACAGACAACATTTTACCTTTGATGACCTCTGGTGACCTGACATTCGACCTGACCTAAAAAATGACCGTTTTGTTTTCGTCCTGTTTTTTGACGATCTTTCGAATGCCGCTTATCGCGTGTCACTACGCGGCCCAGGAGCCGAATTAGACGAGGGAGTGTCCCCCCCCCCTCCCCAGCAGGACACGGAAAACTCAGACCACCAGCACGGCACGGGTTAAAAGTCGTAGATGGGCACCGCTACCCTAGCAAAAGATATTAGCAAAAAGGTGACCTCCATTTACTGGTGCAGTCCTCCTCCTCCCGGTCCTTTTTCTGGAAGCGTCTCACTTATGCTGGTATGCCTCACTTCCCGGGGGCGCCCAACCTCTGCTTGGATCGCCTAATCCATTATGGAGAGACCCACTTTGCTTAAGTCGCCTCATTTCTTCCTTCTAAGAACGACCAATTTGCTGTAGGCGGCCCACTTATCTGGGACGCCCATCTTTTGCTAGAAGTGCCCCTCTTCTTCCTGATGCGTCCCACTTCTACTACGAGTGCACCTTTTCTGTTAGGGCGCCCCTTTGCTGCTGAGGAGTCTTTTCTACTGTGAATAGGGCGACCCTCTCCTGTTTGGCGACCCCAAATTCTGCTGGAGGCGCCCCACTTCTGCCCAACTCTTGGTGGGGTGCCCCTCTCTTGCAGGGGGCACTTCTCTTTTGCTGGAGACGCCACTCTTGTGGGGGCGCCCTTCCACTGCGGGGAACGTCTCTCTTCTGCCAGAGGCACCCCTTTTCTTCTTATGGGGCTCCTGTTTTTTTTTCTGGGGCGAGGCGACCCTCTGCTGCTCGGAACGGGGCACACCTCTCCTTTTACTGGGGCACCGCCCCTCTGCTGGGGTTGCCCTTCCGCTGTCGTCAGGGGCGCCCCTCTTGGTAGAATATACTCCTTTTCTTTTTGTAATGGGGCGCCCCTCTTCTACCGGGGGCGCCCATCTGCTGCTGGGGCGTCTGTCTTCTGCCGGATATTGTCAATGGGGCGCCCATATCCTGTTTGGCGGGCCCAACCTCTGCTGGAGGCTGCCTATTTCTGATTAACTTTTGCTGTGGCGCCTCTCTTCTGCTGGGGCGCCCCTCTTCTGCTTGGGGCGCCCGTCTCCTACTGGAGACCCCTCTCTTCTGCTGGGGCGCCCCTCTTCTGCCAGTGGCACCCATTTTCTTACTATGGGGCTCCTTTTTTGCTGGGGCGCCCAGCTGCTGTCAGGGCGCCCCTCTTCTCGGAATGGGGGCGCCTCTCTCCTTTTGCTGGGGCGTCGCTCCTCTTCAGGGGGACACGTCTCCTGCTAAGGGTGCCCTTCCGCTGCCAGGGGCGCCCCTCTTGAACAGAACGTATTTTATATTCTTGTAACGAGACGCCCTCTTCTGCTGGGGGCGCCCATCTGCTGCTGGGGCGACTCTCATCTGCTGGGAATAGGCAATTGGGCGTCACTCTCCTGCTTGGTGAGCCCAACTTCTGCTGGAGGCGCCCTATTTCTGCTGAACCTTTGCTGTGTCGCCGCTCTTCTGCTCGGGGCGCCCTCTCTGCCGCGGGATATGGGCGCCTTTTTCGGATGGCGGGGGGGGGGGGCGGCCGCCCCCGTCGCCCCCCCTGGATCCGCGCCTGCGTGAGATAGTTTTAGATCATTCTCGGCGCCAAAATAACGGTTTTTTATATTTCCCCATTGACTTATAACAGTGATGTCACGTGACCGACCTGACCTCATGTAACCTTAAAAAATTCCCAGATATACAGGTTGTGAGACCTCTGGAGGACACCATGTATGCGTCCTGTAACTTTCATCTCGGACAGCTATGGTCATTGGCGTCCAAAACAATGTCAGAACCAAACAGCCTTTTTCACCCTCGCGCTTATAAGAAAGAGGGTTGGATGAACCCTCTTTTCACTTTTTTTCAGATGACTCAGACTTCAATTGAAATTTCAGTAACCCGTGATGTCATTAGGCAGCTTTACCACGCTATTTGTAAGCTCCCCTCCCGAAATCACTATTGGAAACCGTTATCGTGACGTAAAATAAATACATTTATAGAAAGAACACCTTCCTAATTTTTTGCATATTTCTTAACAATGAGCCAAATATTTTTCTAAAGAAATAAAAATTCAAAAAAATTTGGTCCCAAAGTCCAAAAAATACAAATGTAAGAAAACTCGACATGTCATATATCAAAAATAGCGTATTTTTTGAAATTTCAAAAATGCATATCAATCTCTGTTTCATTGCCAGTTCAATGTTATATACCATTTGGCATTTGAATAATCCGTCTTAGAGTTACAGCCCGCCAAACTTAGCGTTTCAAGGCAAGATCCAAAAAATGTTATACACCATAACTCAAAAAATACTTATCTGATAAGTCTGAAATTGTTACAGGTGGATTCAGAGCCCCTGATTACCCCTGAGACCAATTCTCGTCAAATTCCGAGAGATGAGGGTGTCAAATTGGAAAAAAGTGGTACGATCTATCGTGGAATGCCCCTGTTGTCACAAGCTTCGGCTTGAATCAAAGGTCAGGTAGGTATGTCAACTTTTAGCTCTCTATCGCAAACGTGTTCTGAGCACTCACGATAAAGCTGTCAGGGGGATGGCACCTAACCCCCCCCCCCCTTGTGACCGGGTCAAATATTATCGTAATTATGTCTAAAATAATTGCTTCTTACGCATACTTCTGCCGAGGACCTGTCTTCGAACATAGAGGGAAATTTGCCAAGGCTAGAGGCCATAACTCAAGCGTTTGAATAATTTGCCTCGTGTGTGAACTGTGAAGCATTGCGGCACAGCATGTGAGGCTTTGCGGCACAGCATGCGTCAGGCGCCATACGACAGAGACATCTAGCGACACTGACGGCAACTATTCATTGACTTCTGCTGCGCAGTAGAGTCGTGCGGCAGGACATACGCACAGGCATATTGGTAGCGAAATGCATCTAATCTCGAATAAACATATCATGAGCCAGTGGTACCGACAGAAAGTGGGATACTTGACATTTCATCGAACCGTTTGAAGTTTCAGGGTGATTTTGTGTTGCCGTAGAGTAAGGCTTTCCCTTCTTTGTTCGGCCTATCAGCAGCAAGTTCTTAGTGAAGCGTTCATAAATATGAGCTACGCGAAAATTCCTGATCTGACGCCGCAGCTCGATGGATGTCGAAAAGGCAGCCACTGACATTTTGACAACCACCTTCTACCACGATTTAGTTTCTCATTAATGGTACCATGTATCTCGCTAATTGAATATCAAAATGCATTTGGGTCGACTCGGGGCACTAACGCTCAGATTCGAACTACTGACCGCGTTGGTCCAGTTTCCGTCTGTCACCTGTGGCACGATAGATTTATGATCTGACTGGGGGCGATCTGGCTCGAGCGAGCGATTCTCCCAAACCATCCATCCACCAGGCCTCCGAGGATGAGCTCAAACTGGCACAGCTCAATTAGAAACGTCAGCATGCCGGCCGGAGTTCATTTGTAGGATTTCTTCTCTAGGTCAGTGCACCGACCCCCTCAGCCCATCCCCCGGGTATAAACCTATTCGAAGCAGAATTAGCCCAGAGAAGTGACAGTCCAATGCCGATTTTAACTGAACCAAAATGACGAGGTCTGCTTTGATGGATCCCACACAGGCTAAAACACACAGCAGTGACGTCACGCACAGAGAAAGCCGATGTAAGTACAGCACAGAAAAAATCCGTTGCAATTTCAGTGCATTTCATTTCATCGAAGCATTTACGTATCACATAGTTGTCCGACCAAGTGCCAGTGATCCGATAAAATGTACAACACAGTATTCGTAGTAATCACGACAGTCTCATGTAACACGGGACGACAATGTCTAAGCGCAGCGTGGACAAGGATATTCATATCTGACTGGGTGGTTTTCAGAAACCGGTGCACAACCTGCAGTGAATGGACATAACACAAGCTCACATTCAAAATCCGGTCATCAGAAGCCGAAACACATAAGCTGATTGAGCGAAACAAATCACATTCAAAGGATATCATCAGCCTGTTTGACCACTACAGAACCAGCCAAAAGGTATCACACCATCATACAAAGCACACATGACGATGAGCGCACCAATGTCCTTCTCGTCTCCAGTGGGAGTCCGTTGAGTCTCCTTGCGACCAACCACTCTGTCACGCCACACGACCTGTGTCAATGACGGAGGGGCTGGGCGGCATCACTCGGCTTTCACCTTCTCCGGGGCGCCTCTAGCCCAGCCCCAGATGCTGCGCAGCGACATCAGCACGGGGATGCTGACCGGCAGAAACAGCGGAATGTAGATAGCGTATTTCTGGTCGTCCGGGAAATAAAGCAGCGCCAGCATGCTCGGGTCGTAGATGGCCCGCTCTGAGTTGGCCAGTGCTCGACACGAGCTGGCGTACGCGTCCGCCTCCCGTCCCTCGGCGAGGTAGCGCGCCGCCTCCTCGGCCGCCGCCACGCCGTCCTGGACAGCAGCCCCCACCGAGTCGTCGATGACGATGTTGGAGATCTGCTCCAGCATGGCGGCCAGCGAGGCCAGGTTGCGGCGCGCGCTCTCCACGTTCTCTACGGCGCGCAGCCTGCGGAGCGCCATCAGCTCCCAGCCACGGAGTCCGCTGGGGCCGGCCGGTCGGACGACAGCCTCAAGCGGCGGCTCCGGCACACCCAGCAGCAGGCGCAGCTGCGTTACCAGCACCGTCACCACGCGACGCGCGTCCACCGTCTCCTGGCCAGCCGGCGGGTTGTACACCTGCACCCCACCCCAGCGCGGCGAGAGGAACGCGTCGGCGGCGCCGGCCGGCCGCAGGTGCAGCGGCCGCTCCGCCGGCGAGGGCACGTATACCACGAACTGCAGCGTGGGCCGGCCGGAGACGGAGGCGCCCAGCCGGGCCTCCAGCGGGGTGACCACCAGCGAGAGCTGCTCCTCCGAGAGGAAATACTCGCCGGCCGTGTCGTCCCACCCGGGCCGCACGCCCAGGTCGGCGTGGTAGAGGTGCTGAGACTTGACGGATATGTTGGCCAGGGGTCGCAGCCGCTCGATGACCGGCTCCAGCAGACGGCCGGCTGCACCGCTGCCGTCCCAGAGAGGTTTTGGAGAGAGCGGCCGTGGCGCCGCCACCGACACCAGCAGGTCGTAGGCGGGTGCCGAGCGGACTCGGCGCGTGGCCACCGCGTCAGACACATCGCCGACCACCGTCTGGCGGAGCAGCGCGGCCAGCTGCTCAGCACCCACTGCCGACGTCACTAACACGTCAGTGTAGCGTCCGAACATCACCGGCGCGGCGGCTGACGGCACCAGCCGCTCGGGCAGCACTATCAGCCGCAGGTGGTCCGACTCTCCGACAGAGTTCAGCGCGTCATCCGCCGCCCACGGGTCCGCGGCGGCGGCTAGCCGGCCCCGCTCGGCCTCCGTGAACGAGCGGCCGTCCAGCCGGCAGTCGGGCAGCAGCGGCGCCAGGCCGGCCGCGAGCCGCTCGGCGGCCGGCCCGTTCTCCGCCAGCACCTCCAGCCGGGCGCCGTCGCCCACCCGCAGCTCCAGCTCCTGTAGACCGGCGATGCCGCCGTACGGGATGGCCGCCCGGTAGATCTCGGTGGTCTTTAGCCAGACAGGCACGCCGACGGCGATCACGGTGATGGCGAACGACAGAGCGGCCAGCGAGCGCGCCGTGCGCGTGTCGTCCGCGGCGTCCGCGCCGCCGCTGCCGCCAGCCATGACTGCTCACGCTCTGACAGCTATGTCAGCAGGGCATTGCTACAAAAGGCAGTCCCTAATGCTGAAACAGATATGAAAATGTCACACTGTTCATACAACTTTTTCATGTTCATCTTTCCTGGACCAAAATAAAAATGCCTAACAAAAGCAAATATGTTAAGTTAAAGGAAGTTACAAGGAGCGCATTTTTGTGTGATATAAAAACAGATGTCTGAAAAATCAAATTATCAATGAACAAAGTATTATCATCTCCATGACCAATATGCACTATAAATGAACTATGTACTGAAAATCTTTAGTAATAAGCATGCTGATCTTAAAAGCAAGCTATTACTAGGGGAACTGCTCTTATTTTTTACTGTTTGTTTTATTGCTTCATCAGCATCTGTACTTATAAATATAAAATAAGGAAATGACACACCCATATCATTCCAAATTTGATATATATTTATATAATATTTAGTTTTTTATTAAGTTTAAGTTTTTATATAATATTTAGGAAAAATGGTGGCATGAAATATGGATTAAAGTGAACAATGTTTTAATACATTATTAATGAATGTGGACATCTGTGCCCTAAAAATCACTTTATATTTTTCAACATCAATGTAGATGTCAGTAAAGAAATGGAGCACCTATAGGCTATAGATCACTATGACGTACCTGATGATAAATTAAAGAATGGGTAGGAAGGCACTTAGCTCTGAGTAAGTGACACTTCTGTCCGTTTTTATCTCACCCTTAGCCTGTAATCTATCAATATCATATGAAAAATCTAAATACACTTTAACTAGGACTAAGCCACTAACTACTAAGCTATGGAGTCTGGACTGAGCCAGTCCATGTTTTATGGCATGTGGCTGCTAGCCTAAGCCACCTTTCAGTTTTCATGGAAACATCAACAATTTTCGGTATATGTCAAGTTTAGGTCCTAACTACAATTGTGACGCCGTTGATACGAATATGAAACAGCAAAAATTTTAGGTTTTAGGTTAGGTTAGGTTGTAGGTTTGTAGGTTTTAGGTTGTAGGTAGGTAGGTTTGTAGGTTAGGTTAGGTTAGGGTAGGTTTGTAGGTTGTAGGTTGGTAGGTTATAGGTAAGTAGGTAAGGTTAGGTCAGGTTTGATTATGTTTTTTTCTTTTATTTGCGAGACATATGAGTATCATTTTTGGATTCAGGATGTCAAATAATGTAAAAATATGAAAAATTTATCAATGAAATCTTCTTAGGACTTAAACTTGACATTTACCCAATTTTCATTGTTAAATTCCAATGAAGTTTTTGAAATTTTAATGAAAATATAAGTCAGAAAGCAAAAGAATAGTACCTAGCTGCTTGCAGTGTTGCTGCCAAACTGCAATTCCTTGAGATGAATATTAACATATTCATGGTGTATACAGCATATAAAATGGTTTGAAACGGGACCCAGAGCCCTGCTTGAGGCTGCAGTGCTAGGTGTGGGTATGCAGTAGGTGCCTACCCAGGCTGTATGACTAGAATACCTGAAAATGCGTTCCGGTTTGGTGACGTCATTGTGTGAATAGTTCACGACGCACATTTTCTGAGGGAAACTTTGGAATAAATAGATTATTTCAGATTTCTTGCAACATTCAGAAATACTTCAAGGAAATGTATTTTTTCATAATTATTTTTTTCAACTCCTCAATTGCTCACACCATGACGTTATCCGTCCTGCTAATTTCTTGAGAAACCACCTGGTAATTGGTATTTAATCTGACATCTCATGAGATGCCTGCTTAATGACTACCTTATTGCTTTGGTGCCTACCCTACCCATCACAAATAAAAATAAGCAGCATTTCACCCTCAAGGCTCAAGCCTTTGCTGTGGAATCCGATGACTCAGTTCAAATTGACACAAACGCTGGTAGGAGCCAGCAAAACAAAAGTTTATCCTTACTTACAGTTAAGACTATGAAGGGTTATTATCTTAATTATTTACATACACTGTGCTTAATTGCACGTTATCGAAAAAGACATATAATTAATAATTATACATAGATATTTCAATTTGAAAAATTGTCACCGTCGTCACTCACCTTCCATATACATTTGGTATATAGGGCCAAGGCCGTATATTAGGAGGTAAACTCGTCAGGCGGTTTGTTTACATTTGCTCAGCTGACGAAATGACGTCAAAGGTCGTCCACCCTCACGGATCAGGCAGCCGCATGCAGTACAATATGCGGACGTTTTTGGGAATTGAGACGACTTTAGCGATATTGAACGATTAAGTTACGTTATACCAGCTTCTACAAACCTGCAAACCGGTTTATGATTATGTGGTGCCACAAAAACCAGTGTGGAAGGAGTTTATATTGATGCATTATCGGCTGGAAAAACACCATAACTTCGACCGTAGCCGACTGAGCCAACATTGACCTATGCTTGGTTATGGGTCAGCATAGTTGCCAGAATGTCATAATTTACGCGGATTTGAACAACAACTATAGCATTAGACGTACGATTACGAGGGTTTGCTCACAACAGTTAGGTATACCGAGCAGAGCATATACCCGGCCGGGGCACCAGCGCCGAAACTGAAGCGTGAACGGTGGCCTGCGACAGGAACGCATATGGCTGCCAGTGATACGGTATGTGGTGGCGCATCGGATGCAGCCCTGCCACTTTCGGTCCAGAACTGGCTGCCATTCGTTGGTCCCAGTCCAGCTGCCTCAATCGGTCCCGGTTTAGACGCCTTTGCCGGCGCCGGTTCAGACGTCTCAGTCTTTCCCGGTCCGGAAGTCTCAACTCAAACTTTATTGAACAATCTTATCGACATTATCTTGGTAGAAAACACAATACAGTAAGACAGAACAAACGAGCAAACTCAAGCAGCACTTCAAAATGACGATAGTCAGCGTGTTTCAGCAGCATCCACGCGTCGCTCCGCGCTGTCTCACAGCACCCCACGGGGTCAAACCACTACGTGGGTTCGTAACACGCTGGCAACAAAACATGGGTTACCAGCGACCAACACAAAACTTTGAGAGCAGGGGTCCATCCAACCTAATTTACAAACACAGCAGCCCCGTCAATGGCCATTAGCGCCAACCCCGCCGGCGGCAGCAGGAGCGACAGGCAGGGACAGCGCATGCAACTCGATCGCAAAACCAATCTTCTAGCATTGCTCTGCGTCTATAAAGGAGAATATCCCGCGCTCATCTACCCTTCAGGACCTGGCCGGGGACACTAACGAGACGCGGACATTACCCACTCAGCTGAGCAGTGAGCACCCTTTCGACCGGTCCGGGGCCCAGCTCTCGCCACATGACCGAAGGGTTAGGGTGCTGTCCTGTCCTGCTGTTCTTTTGCTGTCCTCCATCAGTCGGCTCCGAACCACCAGCCTCGCTGCCGCGCCGGGGTCCGGAGAAGAAGCTGCGCTGAGACGATCTGGAACCATCAGCCGGGCTGTGAGTCCCCACCGCCATGCGGTTGCTGGGACCGGGGCGGTGCAACCACACTCGCGTCCTGACTGCGCTTATGTGCTTCTCTCCTCGGAGCAGAGTCCGGCAGCGCAACCTGACTGACCTGAGCACGCCCCGCGCGAGAAGGCGTCTGGCGTGGCGCGCCGGCCTCGACCATCTGTCACACCGCCTCGGGATTCATGATCCAGATCCGATCGAATCGTCAGATTAAAATGTCTCTTGTATGGTAAACACAGATAAAAATCCCTCCTTCTTGAGTCGCAGAAGGCCAGGGAGGCTTGACAGTCTACGGAGGTCGACGACTGAGAAACGCTCCAGCAGCCTCAGTTGGTCAGCTGCTCAGCAACACTCCGCCAGCGAGACTGAAAACAAAAACCTTCCATGAAATGCAAATTAAGGATGGCTGAAGGATGCATAATACCCAGTAAAACGAAAACTATTCAGTAAACAAAAAATGTCACTTCCTTGCTTGGAAATTTGTATTTTAGTCACTAAATGCCATGGCAAAGGAGCTGCCTAAATCGATGAATGTCAGCAACTCGCCAAACAACCTGTGTAAAACAGTTTGTTATTGTATGTGACTCAGTAGACACAACCTTTTGACCTTAGCCTGCACTAAATATGATAGCAAATTAGCCATGCTCCATTGTCATTTTCCCCTTTGAATTAGGTAATTGTTTTTGGGAGCTGCCACAACTGCACAGATAGGCACATTAACATTGCTCACACACACAGGACAGATTCACTTACTTGTGAGTTGCTGGGTGATGTGTCGTGCCTTGGTCACCAGTCACAGAATAACTGAAGCCTCCTGGAAAAGCGCTGTAGCTGTTGGCGACTGGCGTCACCACAGCTGGTCGGTGGGGCACTGTAAACAAGATGTGACTTTAAACGCTGCTCCAGGTACTTTGGTCATGATCTGTCATAACATAGTTAACATTTCTTCTAATCAAACTAGGGCCTAGGGGAGTTGGGGTGATACTCCTCCATCATACCAATGCGCTAACAAGGATTGAAGAAAACACATGAGCCCTAAAACCAATAAAAAACGAACACAAAACATACCTACTCATTCATAATTATTATTTTTTAATTTGAAAGGAATCCTGTTCACCTAAAAATATTCAGCAAACCACTCACCAATTGCCTGACACCATAGTGCACACAGAAGTTTGAGGCCTGTGTAGGCTGTGCAATATTATATGTGTAGATCAAGATGAAGTACAGTCAGACGTGAGTCAGTAGGTTTTAAGTTGTAGGTTGGTAGATTGTAGGCTTTAAATTGTAGGTTTTCGGTTAGTAGGTTGTAAGTTTGTAGATTGTAGGTTGGCAGGTTGAAAGTTTTTGGATAGTAGGTAAGGTTAGGTCAGGTTAGATTTTAATCTTCACTGTACTTCATCTTCACATTTACCGGCTGTGCGGACTGCAGGCCTGTTGGACCGGATCTTTGTAATACAAAGCACTCGCTCATTCTAAAAGTACTGGTTGTCAAAGACAGAAGAGAAGCGGATGGCTCCCCCGTCCGTGGATGTCCAGATACTTATCAATTAAGGCAGCTTACATGAGTTACAGAAGCAATTGCAGCTTCCTTTGTCCGTCTAGGCTTTAGACAATTGACCACACTTAAAACAAACAAACATGCAATTTCGTTTGGTATTGGAATACATACCAATATTTCTACATTTACAAAAGTATATGATAATTCTTATCAACTACTTGCTGGTAATAATCAGAAAAAAAACTCAGAAATGCCAGACAGAAAAGTATCAAATAACAAGTAACAACAACAATTCAGGGCTGTCTCATCCCTATCTCCGTAACGTGTCGTGTGCGACCAATGACGTCACGGCATTGCGGCGTTCTGATTGGGCGGCAGCTCTGAATCGCCCGACTGGTGGTCCCCGCTCGACAAGCGCACGTGCGCCGACTAGACATTTGTAGTGGCATTGACGGCAGAAAAGGTGAGGTAATGCAGAGCTCTGAATATACTTGAATAGAGTCTAAGCCGTTAGTAATACGTAAAAACGTCAGATAGGTTTCTTGTTCGTCTTGATTTGAGCTTTTATGTGATATAACTTTTACCTTAGTGTCGAGGTTGGCAGCTATATGGGAGAGCCCTAAAGTTGGGTCATTTTCCATAGGATTGCATTACAGCCGTCCGACCCTTCGTACCAGTGACGTCACGAAAATCGCTGCTTCGGCCTAATGAGCATACCTTCTATATAGGGCCTTGACAACAATTGATATCAATTGAAGTACACAAATTTGCAAGCAGAAGATTGTAACACGCGCGCAATAAATGTAAAAAATAGCTAAATTTCTGCTTCAATTCCTTAAACCACTGTCATAAATCGTAATTCCCAACTAATTCACTGCTACGCTAGAACTCAAAGACTACAAGTTTTTAGGTATTGTAACCTTTACAACATGTAGAAAATGTCTTATTAAACCATTTGAGACCAAAAACGTTCCACTTCATCCCGTTTTAGTTGAGAAAACAGCAAAGAAAGTGGACGACCTTTGACGTCATTTACCTTCTGATTGGCCCAAAAAGCCTTGCCTATGGCGCAACATAGAAACGATGACCCCCTGTATTAGGTATAGGGCCTTGATACATTTGAAAAAAAAACTGCGTCACAAGCATATTTACGTCTGGACAACGAGTTGCGGGGAAAAGTGCTGATTGTGTTGCAGTTTTAGGAGCCGGTGATTAGGCTGGATTTTTGGGTTACTTTTTCGTTCCGATTCATGTATTTCATAGTGTTTGGCTTTTGAATATTTTAGTTCTTTCAGATAAATATTACTTGCCTTACAACTTTTGTAAAAACGTTTCATTTTTTTTATAAGCCGACGTTCAGAGTCCTAAAAATACATCAGCACTACAATCATTGTAAACAAACAAATGGAGCACCACTTGGCTCTGTTCCAAGGCCATTTTTTAGTTTATCTGGTGGTTTTCTTGCTCTTGTACGTCGTTTTGTTGGATGTTTTGAATCCCTTAAGATTGACTTATATCATATTTAAGAAGCATGTTGACTGAAAACAATCTGAAGTATCCAGGAGGCTGACAGAGGTCCTGACTGACTACTGAGTGATAGCAATATCAAGTTGAACAAGTTATGAAATTTTGGTTGATAAACGCAAGTTGATCGGGCTCATATATCAGCAAGAAAAAGTAAAATTAAAAGAGCTTATTGTCCAAAAACAAGCTAAAATTTTGTAGACCTTGGAGCAATACTGAAGAGCACGCTGAGCAGGATCATGCCAGAAAATGTTGACTGACGAGCACATATTGATGTATTGGTATGAATATTGAATGATAACTTACAACAGCAAGATAAATTAGTGCTAACTATCA